GGAGGCCTGGTCTGCGGTCCCTGACTTGGGCTCGCACCCTCACGTCTCCTTCCCCACCGTGTTTCCTCTGCAGCTTCCCTCACAGGCACCATTTCTTTCTTCTCTAGGTTCCCTGGACCTGGGGGACCCCCAGGACCCATGGGCCCTGGGCCCAACATGGGACCCCCAGGGCCAATGGGCGGCCCAATGCACCCTGACATGCACCCCGACATGCACCCCGACATGCACCCAGACATGCATCCTGACATGCACCCCGACATGCCAATGGGTCCTGGCATGAATCCTGGCCCGCCCATGGGACCTGGCGGCCCCCCGATGATGCCCTATGGTCCTGGAGATTCCCCACATTCTGGAATGATGCCCCCCATCCCACCAGCCCAGAACTTCTACGAAAACTTCTACCAGCAGCAGGAGGGCATGGAGGTGGAGCCAGGACTCCTGGGGGATGCAGGTATGCAGGGCATCATGACGGCAGCTGGGGCCAGGGGCTGTGCACATGGAACAGGGTTGGGAGCTGTGGCTCTCCTTCTGTGGCCTGAATCTCTTCAAGGAAAGCATGACTCCAACTGCCATCTCTGTCCCATTTAATCGTTGACTGTTTCCAGTGATATAGGGCTCATCATCATGTTGGAGGAGGATAGCATATTGTGTGTGTTATCAATGCAACTTAATTTTTAAGACGTTTTGTGGGCTGTGCCTGGAGTCAGGAGTGTGACCAGTAAGAGGGACAAACGTGGCTATTGTGGGGCTGAGAGGCTGATGGCATCTTGGGATTAAGCCAGGGGGCCTGGCCAGAGCTGCCTCCTTCAGACCATTCTTAGAGCTGCCAGTGTTGGCCTGTGACGGCTTGTTGTGTCGCACCACCAGCTGCTTTCCTTTTTTTCTTCCTTCTGTATGGTAACAACCCAGACATCCGACACTCAGAGCCAGTTAAATGAGGCCATCGCAGCCCTCAGGAGGAGGAAGCCTGAGGCCTGCTCCTCATCCTGCCCCTCACCCTGCTGCTGCCGTAGCTGCACTGTAGTGAGGAGGGAAGTAGGTAGCAAATGTGTCAGGTGTTGAATCTGCTTGGTCCAACCTTGGCCATTGTTAGAAGAGGATAAGAGTAAGGTGGGGTGACTTGGCGGGGGGCAGGAGACTCAGTGCTGCAGTGGGGCAGTCACAGCGCCTCCCTGAGAAGCGAGATGTGATTCGAGACATGAGTAGGGGGAGGTGGCCACGCCCTGTGTCTAGGGGGGTGGGGCTGTTGGTCAGTGCGACAGGGGTGGCCTTGCTACTGTAAGGAATGATGGGCCTAGAGGGGGATGGGTGATGGGGGCCAGAGTGGAACCGGGGGAGCTTCTGGGAGTTTCCGGGCTGCTGTGGAACTGTCCTGGGCAGAGGCGAGTGGAGTGGTGGCTGGAATATCAGGGCAGGGCTTCAAGGTTTGGACACGTGCCATGGGGCCAGCGTGAGCTCTTGTGTGTGTTTTGCAAGGAAGCAAGAGCAGCATTGAAAGGGCAGAGGCACAGGGCAGAGGCCAGAGTCACTCTGAGTGCTTGCGCCATTCCTGGCATGGTATGGCCTATGGGTTATCTTGGTGGGTGGCAGCACCTTTCTTCAGTGGAGCATGGTGAGATCAAAACATGAGTGTCTCAGCATCTAGACAGCACTTGGGCAAGAGCAGGGTCTTAGAAAGACGAGAAAGGGAGCCCCAGAGTGAGGTGCGGGGCTCCCTCCGCCCCTCAGCAGCTCTGCAAAAGCTTCGTGGGAAAAGCTCTACTGGGGAAGGGCGCCTGCGCCAGTCACCCTGTTGGCAGCAGGTGTCCCGAGAGCTGTCCCCACCTGCCAGGCGTGTGCAGTTAGCAGCTTCTGTCCTTCTGTGAAAGGGGCCTGGACTGTCTGTTCACTGAGGGGTGCCCAGCTCTGAGCAGGGATGGGGGTGATATCAGCAGGCTGGCCCATCAGGGTCACACAACGAGGACTGGGGACTAGCAGGAGGTAAACACACACAAGCTGAGTCATTTGTAATTCTGTAAAGATAATGTAGGTGAAATGACAGATTCTTTTTCTTGGCAGTACTCGCCACGTTTCGAATGCTCAGCCGCCCGGGGGGCTTGTGGTGCCATGTGGGCCTGCAGGACGTTCAGCAAGGCAGCACTGACTAAACATGCCCTGTCTCGTGACACGTATCACACACACATGCAGTATCCAGGGGTGACACTCAGCCTGCCTGTGTCATCACTCCTGCTGGGTCCCCATAGCCCTGGGCTCTGGTGCTAGGGAGTCCGGGGTGAGGGGGACACATGCTGGTGCCCGCCCTACAAGGGCAAAGGCAGACACCTCAGCCCGGTGCCTCCTGGGATGCCCCTCATTGCACCAGTATGCTTACAGGTGCATGTGGCATTCAGGGCCCTGTGGAGGAGGAGGAAGAGCAGGAGTCACTTGAGCTTTTGGGCTGATCTGGACCCAGGGCAGCGTTTGGTGTATTTCATCCTCTCGTCCTGGCCTTTGTTGTTGACCATGACTGAGCTCGCTGTGAGATGCATATTCTTCATTGATTGTCAAAGAAACCGTGCAATTAATGCTCATTGCAAATACTTAAAACAAGTGGAGTTAAAAGTGAAAGATTCTGTGGCCTTGTTTCCTTAGAACCTTCTTCCCAGAGGGACTTTTTCCTGTCTGTCTTTTCAAAACCTTTTTTTCACATTTTACAAACATGCATCCAGTGTCCATCGTGTTTCCACCTCATTCACCTGCGTCTCCTAATCCTCTCTGTGAGCCTCCTCCTTCATGGCCTGCTCCGTTCCCCATGGTGGGGCTCTCCGTGGCCCCCTAGACCGGGGGAGAGCAGGCGGGGACGGACCGTGTCCTCTCCATCGCCATCAGGGTTGGGGTTGCTGTGAAGGCCAAGGGGGGGTGGAGATGGCACCAGGAGGCCCTTCCCGACTTGAACCCTCGGTTCTTCCTGCCACAGAGGACTACGGGCACTACGAAGAGCTGCCGGGGGAGCCTGGGGAGCACCTCTTCCCCGAGCACCCTCTGGAGCCTGACAGCTTCTCTGAGGGAGGGCCCCCAGGCCGGCCGAAGCCAGGCGCCGGTGTCCCTGACTTCCTGCCCTCGGCCCAGAGGGCCCTGTACCTGAGGATCCAGCAGAAGCAGCAGGAGGAGGAGGAGAGAGCGAGGAGGCTGGCTGAGAGCAGCAAGCAGGACCGGGAGAATGAGGAAGGCACGTGTCCTCCCCAGGGGCGGGGGCGCGGCCCCCGGGCCGCCGCACAGGGAGAGGGGGGCGTCCTAGGCCGGGTTTCCTGTGGGGAAGGCACCTGTGGCCAGAGAGGACCCCGGGCAGGGCTGTGAAGCCCGGCTGGGGCTGCTGCGTGTCCCGGAGAACGCCGAAGTCGGGCTGCCCTTGTGTGTCTTAGGGCTCAGGGCGACCCTGGTCACATCCAGGAGGGTGGCGGGCTGGTTCCTGGAGGCGATGGAGGCCGGCAGGATTGACTGCCTGTGTCCTTCCAGAGGAGGCTTCACGAGACCCTCCCGGCCCCTCTTTCCTAGACCGTGTTGTCGAGCTGGCAGGCAAGCGCTGGTCACGTGGTCAGCTAGTAATCATCGTATTCACAGACAGGCACCAGTGTCAGGCGCCATGTGGTCAGCCCGGTGATGTCTGCCCCAGGGCCAAATGGGCAAGGGCTGTCTAGATCCTGAAGCCGGAGGCCACTGTGGCCCTGACGGGAGTCCAGGAACCAATGGGGACAGCAGGAAGGGGCCAGAGGAGGTGGCCCCTCTTTGGCAGCTCAGAGTGCACCTGCCAGAAGGTTTTGGTTGGGCCAGTTTCTGAGTCTGCCCGCCTGGCCCCGCCTCTTATTAGCCGGTGACTGCAGCTGGTCAGCATCTGCCCTTCTTTGGGACACAGGACACTAGAACAGTGTGGGCGGCTCAGGTACAAGCGTGCGTGAGCTGCAAGTCCAGTGAGAGCTGAGTTTGTGGTGGCTGCTGCCAAGACCTCCAGGAGGAGGTGCCCAGAGCCAACTTGCCACCGTGGGGCTCAGCCAGCCCAGAGGGAGGAGCAGGCAGCAGAGCCCTGGGCTGGGAGTTCTGGCACTGCCCCCGGTTTAATGACACCATGCCTCTTTTCACACTTGTCAAATGGGCATGAAAGCAGCACCATCTCCTGAGGTGGTTGTGAGTTACCTGAGTGAGATGCACTTAGAGAGCAGTGTGGCGCCGGAGGGAAGCCCCGCCAGCCCTGTGCTCATGCTTGAGCATCTGTCCTGAGTGCCCTGATCTGGGCAGCCCTTGCGGGAGGGAGGGGGAGGGAGGGACCTTGAGCGGGAAGAGTCAGGGTTCTAAGGAGCAGAAGCAGAGGACCCATTCGTCCGGTGGACTGCGTGGGGTCTGAGGGCTGCTGGTGGCTGTGGAGGCCACTCACCCAGCCCGCCCCTCTGTTTTTCTCAGGTGACACTGGAAACTGGTACTCGAGTGACGAGGATGAGGGAGGGAGCAGTGTCACCTCCATCCTCAAGACCCTGAGGCAACAGACATCTAGCCGGCCACAGGCTTCCGTTGGCGAGCTGAGCGGCAGTGGGCTGGGGGACCCCCGCCTCCAGAAGGGACACCCCACAGGAAGCCGATTGGCTGATCCCCGCCTCAGCCGCGATCCCAGACTCACCCGCCATGCCGAGGCTTCTGGCGGTCCAGGCCCAGGGGACTCAGGGCCCTCTGATCCCCGGCTGGCTCGCACCCTGCCCACCTCCAAGCCGGAAGGCAGCCTTCATTCCAGCCCCGCAGGCCCCAGCAGCTCCAAGGGGTCTGGGCCGCCCCCCACAGAGGAGGAGGAAGGAGAGCGGGCCTTGCGGGAGAAGGCCGTGAACATTCCTTTGGAGCCCCTTCCTGGGCCACCACTGCGGGACCCGCGGTCACAGCTGCAGCAGTTCAGCCATATCAAGAAGGACGTGACCCTGAGCAAGCCAAGCTTTGCCCGCACTGTGCTCTGGAACCCTGAGGACCTGATACCCCTGCCCATCCCCAAGCAGGATGCGGTGCCCCCTGTGCCCGCCGCCCTGCAGTCCATGCCTGCCCTGGACCCCCGGCTGCACCGCCCTGCCACCACGGGGCCTCCCAACGCCCGGCCACGCCCAGCCACCTCCACAGACCCCAGTGCATCTGGCTCCAGCCTCCCTGACTTTGAACTGCTCTCTCGTATTCTCAAGACTGTCAATGTCTGCAACCCCTCGGCAGCCCCCAGCTCCAGTGACAAACCCAGTGACCCTCGGGTGCGTAAGGCCCCCACCGATCCTCGCCTGCAGAAACCAGCAGACTCTGCAGCCCCCTCCCGAGCTGCTAAGCCTGGCCCCGCAGAGGCGCCCTCTCCTGCCGCCAGCCCCAGTGGAGAGTCCTCGCCCCCAGCCACAGCCCCCTACGACCCCCGAGTGCTGGCGGCCGGTGGGCTGGGCCAGGGCAGTGGGAGTGGGCAGAGCAGCGTGCTGAGCGGCATCAGCCTCTACGACCCGAGGACTCCCAACGCGGGTGGCAAAGCCGGAGATCCGGCCGGTGACTCGGGCGCCCAGGCCAAGGGCCCTGAGGGCAACGGCAAGAGTTCAGCCACCAAGGCCAAGGAGCCCCCGTTTGTCCGCAAGTCCGCCTTGGAGCAGCCAGACCCAGGGAAGGCTGGGGCCGACGGGGCCATGGCCACAGACAGGTACAACAGCTACAACCGGCCCCGGCCCAAGGCAGCCACAGCCCCCTCCACCACCGCCGTCACCCCGCCACCAGAGGGTGCCCCACCCCAGCCTGGGGTGCACAACTTGCCCGTGCCCACCCTCTTTGGGACGGTGAAGCCAGCGCCCAAGACAGGCTCAGGAAGCCCCTTTGCTGGCAACAGCCCGGCCCGTGAGGGAGAGCAGGATGCGGGGTCCCTGAAGGATGTTTTTAAAGGTTTTGACCCCACCGCCTCCCCCTTTTGCCAGTAGTGTTAAGCCGGAGCGGCGCCCGCTGCACCCCAGCCCTTCCCCGGGCAACGTGTAGGGCAGCCGCCGGATGGGGGATGTGGGAGCAGGGCAGGGGTCTGGGTCTTCTTCCTTTTTTCTTTTTTTTTTTCCTTTTACCTTTCTTTTTTCTTTCTTTTTTTTTGTTGGAGTAGTTCTTTCTTTGAGACTTATAAATTGTACATAACCATCTTCAGTTCTGGTCAGTGCTGGGGGCTTGCAGGCCACCGCGGAGAACCCCGACTTGTGCACGTGAACAGTTCCCAGTGCCCTGGCCTCAGCCCTCGATGGCTCTCTGCCCGGCCGGGCCTCCGTGGACCCTCGTCTGGTCCCTGGGGGTCCCATGGGTTTTCTGAGCAAAGCACGACCCCCTCCCCAGGACAAAGGGAACAACAGGTGTCTACGGAGGCACTGACCATTACGCACCCCTACTTAACCCTACTCGCCTGTGCCGCTGCACAAGGAGAGACGCAAAACCAAGACCAATGTAGGGTCCGCGCAGAAGCACCTCAGGGCGCTCTGTCCCCTGTCTTCAGTGCAGACCATGGAAAGCCTCTTCAGGAGACAGCGAAAAAGTATTACAGAAAGAAAAAGCCTCAGCCGCACCCTGGGCACTCCCTGGCCCTTGCCTGCTCCTGTTTGTCTGGATTGGTGTGTGGGGCCCTCCCTGCCACCCTCCGTCCAGAGTTCGTCCCAGAAACCAACGCCCCCAGTCTGCAGCAGAAGACTCGGGGTGGCAGATGGACCTGGGGGCAGCAGGGCTGCTGTGGGGCAGTGCCCCCAGGAGGCAGCCCCTTGGAGCGCCTTTCCTGTCAGTATTACCTGGCCTGTCCCGTCAGGGACACACCCTCCTCCCCCTGCTGGGGTCAGCCCTGGCCCTCGGAAGCCACGGTGCCTAGTGTGCCTGCACTGCAAGCCTGGCCCCAGCCCCAGGAGACAGCTCAAGGATCCGTGCGGTGGCCACTCTCCCGGGCCCCATTGCGGGAGTCCCGGTGTCTCTCCGGCCAAGTGTTTCTTCTCTGCTTTCCTCACACCTCCGTAAGCTGTGTTTTCTGTAGGGCACAATTGTGTGTGTGGTGTGTTTCTCCCGAGCCGAAAACTGCAGGGGTTCAGAGGCGTGTCAACAGCGTTGGATTTGTGGACACTTGCGGAAAAGGGGACCTGGGCGCGTGGAAGCCTGCAGCCAGGCAGGGAGGGGGTGTGCTGGTCCTTCCCAGGAGAGGGACTGGGACCCTGCTGGGGGGGTGGGAGGGACTAGAAGCCTCCTCCCCTCGCCTGGCCGAGCCAGGATGGGTGGGGCGGCTGTATCAGCTCGCCGGCTCCCCCCACCCTGCTGAGCTCCAGCCTCATCTGCAGAGCTCCAGAGCAGGCCCACCCTGTGGGCATGGGCATGGGCACGGCCTGGGAGATGGGCCCCGGGGAACCGCGGGGCCTGCTGGTCCTGTGTCCAGGTCACTGCGCGCCCCGGGAAGTGCGTTTGCTCGTGGGTCTGTCTCCTGCCTGCCTCCTCTGTCTCCTAGTCCTGCCACCTCAGTCTCTTCCTCACTAATAATGGGGAGGCCTGGTCCCTAGCCAAAGGGTTCCCCTTCTTCCGCTCAGTGCGGGAGGTCGACAAGGCTCCTATCCCACCCCACCCCACAAAGAGAAAACACGAAAAACTCACAGTTTGGGGCCAGGAGGCAGGGCAGGTGAGGCAGGCCTCCCCTTGGGCCAGACAGCCCACGGGGTCAGCCGTGATCAGGTCGGTTGGTCTTTTTGTCTTTTTTGTTGTTTTGTCTTTTTAAACAATCATTAGTGAGAATTGGCTTCAGCCACCAATGTTGGACTTGAAGCAGGGCTGCCCGTTGGTGTTTGGAACATGAGTAAGAATACACAGTGTGGCAGTGGTGGGTTTTGTTTTTTCTTCTCCTTTTGAGAATTTTCTTTTGTAAGAGAAAATGAAATATTTTTTAAACCGAAATCTGTGGATGAAATAGAAGCTGGAACCCTCCTCTTGGAATATTCAGCCTAGGAACCTCATGGGACTATGAATTCACCCGAAATTTTCATTGCCATCAGGCCGAGCTTTTAAAATAAAATTGTTCTCTAACCAGGATTGTAACAAAAGTGTAAATACTATTTCAGAGTTGAAAGTTGATGGTGCAAATATGTATATAATGTACTGTATTTTTACAATGATCGTCGCATGACTCTATCCCACCCTTTTTGTACTCCATACCTGTCTTCCAGAAACGTCACCTGCCTTTTCTCCTGTGGTCTCTTAATCCAATAATTGTATTACTGCCATTAAAGGATGCAGTTATTTTAAAAGGCCTGTGTCTGGTCTCTCCAGGCTGCCCCAGCCCATCCCCTGCCTGCCCTGGGGTTTCACCAGGAGGAGGGCAGGAGGCGGCTGGGGCTGAAGCTCGGGCCCATCCTCTCAGTGGGCCACCTTGGGGTGACATAACACCCGTGGCATGGGTTGTGCCTCCAAATGGCTTTCCTTGGTGGCTGCAGGTCATCTGCCAGCACCTGCCAGCCAGGGTGCCTGAGCTCCTGCCTGGGCTTGTCTCAGTGTTCAGGCCCAGGGAGGCCCATGCAGGCTTGGACCTGCCCCCACAGCACTCACGGAAGGAGGCCAGGGATGAATGCTGGCAGCCCGGCTGGCTTCTAGGGCACGAAGGCTCCAGCAGGTGCCCTGTTCGCTCGGTGACCAGGGGTCCTTCCTGAGGATGCTGTGTGTGGCAGGACTCTTCCAGAGAGGAGCCCCATCTCCCTTGGACTGACTCTGGCCGCCGTCTACATGGCTTGTGTATTTTTTCCCTGGTTGCTGTACACATTATCATAAGCTTTCTGGTATAAAACAAATATCTCAAATTCTAGGGGTCGGGAGGGTGACATGGCTCTAACTGAGCTCAGATCAAGCTGTGGCAGTACTCCCTTTTTTCTAGAACAGGGAGAACTTGTTCTCTTGCTGGGCCACCAGCATTATTTGGCTTGTGGCCCCTTCATCTTCAGGTCCAGCAAGTCACATCTCTTGTCACAGCTGGGAAAGGGCCGCACTTCCAAGGATGTGATTAGGTCGGGCCCACCTGGATAGGCCAGCCCATCCAGGCTAGTCAGGTCTTCGTCTCTTACCATGCAATCAGCGGGTGATTGGGGGATTCACATAGATTAGGACATGGAGATCTTTGGGGGCCATCCTGCCTTTAACTGGTGTCCCCAGATACTCCACAGAAAAGGGTTTTGTGTCCCGTACACTGGTTGCTGGTCTAAATACATGAACTCTCGGTTTATATCAAAAATTTGAGTTCTTGACTGGTCATGGTGGTTCATGCTTGTTATCCCAGTACTTTTTTGTTTGTTTATAAATTACTTTAAATATGTGAGGTACAATTCAGGGTTAGGTATTTAGGTATATAAATGTACCTCATGCAGGTACCTTTGTTGATGAGATATGAATCCCAGTACTTTGAGAGGCCAAGACAGGAGAGTTGCTTGAGGCCAGGAGTTCAAGACCAGCCTGGGGAACGTAGCAAGACCTCATCTACCAAAAAAAAAAATTTGGCTGGGCACAGTGGCTCAAGCCTGTAATCCCAGCACTTTGGGAGGCCAAGGCGAGAGGATTGCCTAAGCTCATGGCTTTAAGACCAGCCTGGGCAACTTGGCAAGACCTCGTCTTTACAGTAAATCAAAAAATTATCCGGGTGTGGTGGTGTGCACCTGTAGTTCCAGCTACATGGAAGGCCTCTGCCCAGCAGGTTGACAGAGTGAGACTCCAACCCCCCCCCAAAAAAAACCAATTATCCGGGTGTGATGGCACTTGTCTGTGGTGCCAGTGACTCAGGAGTCTGAGGCAGAAGGATTGCCTGAGCCCATGGGTTTGAGACCAGCCTGGGTAATTTGGCGACACCTCGTCTCTGCAAAAACTAAAAAAGCCGGGCTCGGTGGCTCAGCCTTTAATCCCGCGCCTTGGGAGGCTGAGGTGAGTGGATTGCCTGAGCCCGCGGGTTCGTGACCTGCCTGGGCAATTTGGCAAGATCTCATCTCTACAATAAATCAAAAATTAGCCGGACGTGGTAGCGCACGCCTGTAGTTCCAGCTACTCGGAAGGCTGAGGTGGAAGGATCGCAGGAGCCCAGCAGGTCAAGGCTGTGGTGGCCGGAAGCGGCTGCTGCACTCCAATCTGGGCGACAGAGTGAGACTCCAACTCAAAAAATAAAATAATAAATAAGCCGGGCTCGGTGGCTCAGCCTGTAATCCCGCGCCTTTGGGAGGCTGAAGTGAGTGGATTGCCTGCGCCTGCGGGTTTGAGACCCGCCTGGGCAGTGAGACCTTATCTCTACAATAAATCAAAAAATCAGCCGGGCGTGGTAGCGCGAGCCTGTAATTCCGGCTACTCGGAAGACTGAGACGGAAGGATCGCCGGAGCCCAGCAGGTCGAGGCTGCGGTGGCCCGGAGCAGCCACTGCACTCCAGTCTGGGCGACTGAGTGAGAGAC